CGCAGACTCTCAAATCAACATCCTGCAATGACATGACGGGACCATTGCCACCAAACACTGCCAAAGTACCCGTGGGCCTTTGGATCAGCGCAGACTTTCAAATCAACATCCTGACACCACATGACAGAACCACTGACAACAAACGCTGACAAAGTACCTGTAGGCCTTTGGATTAACCGGCCTCAAGTTGGAGAAGCAACCCCCCAATGATGCTGATGATGCTAGCCCCGCTCCAAGGCTTCTGTCAGCTGTTCAATGGCGGTTATGCTCGTGCTGCTGCCTGCGTTGCCCGCCCCTGGGCGCAACCGCTTAAAAAAAACCTATATAGTACATGTCCTCATTCCCTGCTAACGCCAAGTAAGACCATTCATCCTATTACCGTAGATGTTGCCTGCAATCAGTATCACTAATCTCAGGTTGCATCCCAGACGCTCGTGACCAGGGTCATGCGCATGATCCAGTTCGCCCACGAGCCAGGCTTTAAGTGAGGAGCGAAAGGCTTGAAGTCCTGAACAGAGTAGAACACCGCCATCATCATGATCGGCATACCTGTAGCACAACAACCCCGACCTACTGTTGCAATAATGAGTTGTTTCTGACTTTAGGAACTTGCACAATTCATTTCGATATCTACTTTCTTGTGCAGGTTGCTGAGGATGATGTTAACGAGCACGAGGCTGGAGACCAATGGCGGCACCCAAAGGCTCTTCTCTCCCATCCAGTCCCACACCTCGCTGTTGCTCAAAGCCTCCTCTGGGTTGCTGTTAAGGAACTGAATTCAAGTTACTACGTTGGGGTAACCATCTTATGTAGAATAATATACCCATTCTGGGGACTTAATCTAAGTTACTACATTGGGGAAACCCTGCTATTTACTATATATATATATATATACCCGAAATGGAAACTTAACTTAAGCACATTACAAACAACCCAGTCCTCTAAGTTGGCAGGAGAGTGGGTCATGGACTGCACGATGTCCTGCCTGATGAAGACACCATATCCGTGATAGCCCCATAGCCTGGGCTGCTGTTAAGGAACTTCAATTAAGTTACCATAATGGGTATATATAATACATAATAGGGTTTCCCCAATATGGTAACTTAATTTAACTTCCTTAACAGCAACCCAGTAGCATCACTGCCAGGTAGAGAATGCCGCACGTGGTAGCAGCTCCTAGCATGGCTCTGGGAAACTCTTCTGGCTGGGCCATGTCCTGCAAAACCTGAGTTGGGAGTTTCTCAAAAAGGGGATACCCTAGGGACCCCAGGTGATATATAGGGATTATATATAGGGATTATGGGGGTCCGTAGTAGGGATTATATAGGGATTATTTTGAGAAACTCCTAGTTGCTGTTCAGGAACTTCATTCAAGTTACTACATTGCGGAAACGCTATTATTTAATATATATATATATATGCCCATTATGGCAACTTAATCTAAATTTCCTGACAGCAACCCAGAAACCGCGGGGACCACTGGATGAAAGGTCATAGCACCAATGCAGGTTGCTAGGACGACGCCGAGAGCCATCACGGATTCCTCCAGAGAAGCAAAGCAACACACACCTAGCAAGGGAAAATGATAAATAGGGCATATTGGGGTTCTAATGGAAAGCAGAAATGAAAACTGCTATGACCTAGGGATTAGAAGTAATGGAAAATAAAATGGAAACTACTATAGTATAGGATAGTATAGGGGTTAGGGTTTAGGGTTCCAGGTTTCTAAACCCCCAAAAATAGTTTCATTGTCTTTTCCGCCAGTGTTACTATATCATCACCCATATAACCCTCTATCTACAGCACAAGCGACAGTAACATGTCCTGCGGCCAGGGTGAGTGCATCTCCTGGTGCTGGTCCCAGTCTTTCCAGCGCCTCGAATCCATCCTGGGATAGACTCAGTGGCTCTATAAACATAAAACTTTTTCTGGCTTTATAAGGACTATATAGGCGTTGTGGTCCATAATGATCATAAAAAAAACTATTCCCAGGAATATCCCAGCATCATGGACTTGCCGATAATGCAAGCCGCGGTGGCGCAGGCTGCCACCATACCGAAGGGTACTAGTCCTAGGTTCCCCAGTAACCTCTTGACAAAGACGGATTTAGGTTCCCCAGTAACATAACCACTTAATAAGAGGGGTACCCTGAGTGCTAAGGACTAAGGACACCCAAAATAAAGAGGGAAAAAGGTGCTACTCGGGTACCTGGAGTCTGGAGAGGGCAGAGAGGTCCGGCACAAGCGCCAAAGCCAGGAAAGCTGGGTATAATATCAATATCCAGTGCTGCTTGTCAAGGGCATTCTGGCTGAGATTCTCTAGCTGCATGCCTATCAGCACAGTGTACGCAGAGTAGATGCCGAAGAGAAACAGGTTGGCCACCACAGCTGCTAGAACTTGGCCCAGGGGTCCCCAAGCTTCTCGGCCCAGGTCTTCGTAAGTAGACATCCTTCCCTCGCTTGCCATGAAAGCCTTCCACATATGTAGCCCACTCTCTGCAGTTGACAGGATGACTACCAGTAGGATCAAAGCACTGAGCACCCAGCCTCCCCTGAGGGGCAGCTGTGGCAGAGCCATGATTCCTGCCCCAATTACCACTGTCACCAGGTTCACATAAGTCTGGAAGGCACTCAGCTGCCTCCCATGACCAGTCCGCTCCTTCACATCCCTCTCCTCCTTGTGGCTTAGGGGTGAGCTCTGGGCCTCATTCCCTGAGGGTGGATGGCCCCCTGGAGGAGCAGGCTGCAGAAGCTCCGGCACCACCGACACAATCTCTTCAGTGGGCATGAAGAGCTCAGGGAGTTAATCCAGTCACAAACTACGCCTAGGAAACTTCTTGCGGGTGGAGACTGCAAGGTGTTTTGGGTTCAGCGTTGTCAATTCGTCTGCCTTACTTCTCTTTGTCTTGTCATATTGCTAAGCAGGCTAAGCAGAAGCTTGATCCGTCATGCAGGCAAAACGCTGTGGCCTGGCCCGCGCAAGGAAACGGGCTGCCCTCGAATAGATCTGCGAGGATGTGATCTCAGCCCGCAGCTTTCGTTGTTGCAAACGACTGATGATGGGTACTTATGCACGCTACATGCGGTTCGTGGCTCCTCACACTCGCAACTTACTCTGCGTGGCTTGATGAAAAGCCTTCAAAAATAAACACCACTGTACCCTTCGCCTTGTGGGTAACAAGAATTCTGCAAGGACGGAACCGCTGATTTTCCTTTTATCCTAAGGGTCCATGTGCCCAGCAATTGGGCACTTGGGATTTGGGTACTAACTGGTAGTTATAGTACAGGTTTTGGGTAAGTGTATGATTGTTGGCTACTTGGACCCTCACCCTGCTGCAGCCCAAGCCGAACACGACCCTGCACATGCAGAATTGCCATCCGGTTCCCGTGACATCCCACGCGTTGGTGTGGGTTAGGTATGGGTCTCGGTGAGTGGCACAGCCGCATGCTGTGCTGCTCAGGCAAGCCCATACTACTTGGACCCTCAGGGTTAGGCTCCCAGCACCCAGACGCCTAGTGAAGAAGTCCATGATGCAGGGCTCGTAGCAGGCTCAGTCGAAGTCTTCGGCGTTCAAGGTGCTTGCCGTGTCCTCTATACGGTCTCCACTGGCACCAACCCTCTTCTGGGGATGAATTATAGGGACTTAGGCCCACATCCCTAAACCCTTAACCCTAAACCCTATACCAAATTACCCAAGGCTTCCCCAATACTACTATAATCCCTATATAATCCCTATATAACCCCTATATAACCCCTATATAATCCCTATAATCCCTTTAGTTTCCATTTTCTTTTCCATTATCCCAATATAGCCTCCACTGCAAGGGCTACCCCAAAGCCATGAGTCCTCCTCCATCTCCCTTAGCTCGATCACAGGGATGCCTTTCTTGACAGTCTCCTGACCTGGGGCGTGCCCAAGTTTCAGGGGGCACTACAGGGGGACTTGGGTGGTTTCCCAAGATTTGGAGCACCTTTTTGGTGGTCCCAGTAGCAAGGATTTCAATATATCTTGGGGTTTGGCGTCCCCTTGTTCATGGAAACTACCATTTTGGATAGCAGGGCTTTTAGAAGTGTCCTTGTCAACTAGAAGGATTCCACAGGCCGCGTATCCCCCACCTAATCATAGTGACTATAAGGGATAATGGTGATTATGTTAGGGTCCTTTTAGAGTCCTAGTATACCACTATTGCAGGGTGGAGGGTCCACCTAAGGCATATCTGATGGGACGCTACCAAAGCCATCTCACAAGGCAAGCTGATCTCTCAATCTTGGCACGTTCGCTTTACTTGTTGGCACAACACTTCATACGCTTCTGCCCTGTGATTTACTGCAGTCATTGTTGAGATGACACGGTCAATCGTTTTGACTGCGGTATGACCATTCGAACCATGATACTACATATCCATACTCTGACTGTGATTCAACCCATAATGATACCCCCGAAATCGTGAGCACTCGTTATATATTACTATTCTGTAGCAGGGTAGAAAATCAACTATGAAGGGGCTAGGTGCTTCTATGGGTTGCTTATAGGGGGAGGGGATTATGCTCCACGAAGAGGGATTCTGCAATCTGTAAACTTGGATGATGCCACTAGCTCCTGGCATCTACTGCTGCTATTCTGGTGATGAACTTCTTCATGGCCCCTGCACAGTAACAGTCACTGCCAGACTCCAATCTAAGCCTGAAAACACCTATGATTACCGTGCAAGTGAGCGCCTAAGCACCTATAAGCATCATTGTGAGATCCAGGTAACATCCCTAAGCATCGCTAAACCCTGAATTGGTCTTTACTGACGCCCCTGCAGCATGGGACGCCCTAGATTGAGATATTGCTTCGAGGGCAACTGACTGAGGATGGCACCGACACCAAGCCGGATGTTTGGCAGCAAGAGCACCTACGTCTGGAATTTTCTTAAGCCCTTCTAGCAATTCAGGGATTCTACATGGAATATGCAAGAAGGTAGAATAAAAGCGTCATTATGCATCGGATCTTTGTTGAGGCCCGTTGTGCAGTTCCTTCACTCTAGACGTTTGTTGTAAACCCCTTGTTACACCGGAAAGCTTTCCGGGTAATGACAGAAATGTGGGGCTGAGGGCTACCAGGTGCGGGCACAAACCACGCCGCCTTTCTTCCGCCATGGAGTACTATGCTGAAACTGTCAGTGGGAGAGCCACAACCTAACATTATCAATCAACAACTATGGTGATGGGTCGTAAGCCTTTAAACGCTAACTAGCCAACCCCCTTATTCACTACTTCACTTGATGACTGTCCAAACCAACTGAACATAAGGAAGCGACCAACCACCACAAAAACGGCACCGCCAAACTCTTCAAGCCCGACCCCTAAACCCTAATCCCTAAACCCCGAACTCCCTTAAGCACCAGTAAGTTGCCCGGCCTCGCTGGAGCCCGAGAAGGCACTGAGCTTGCTTATGTCACCTGGGCCGTGACGAACTAAGGGAACGGGTTTAGGGTTCAGGGTTTGGGGTCTACAGTAGGGGTTGAGGGGTTTATTAGGAATATCGGGGTTGTATTGGGATAGTGGAAAAGAAAATGGAAACTTGTTTAGGGTTATATTGTGGTTATTTAGGGGTTATACGGTTATACGGGGATGATAGGGTAATATAGGGTTTTCTAGAGATTATAGGGTTTAGGACTTGAGGGGTTGAGGGCGGGGTTTAAGGTTTAGGGGTTTAGGGGTTTAAAGTTTTACTGTTAGGTTTTATGGTTCAGCCCCAGATATTGAGAAACTATCAGCAATCATTTCTGCAGGAAGAACCCCTTGCAAGAAGTGAGATCGAGGCCGGGGAGATTGTGGGGGGCAACAGGGACACACTCGACATGATACATGGTAGTTTCCCAAAGCAGGGGGACCCCACTATAGACCCAATGTATTATAATCCTTACATAGGGACCCCCAAAAGGATAGTTTAGTATCCCCCTTAGTAACCCTATAATACTTCCCTATATAATCCGCTGCATATGCCCCCCCCCCCCCACCCACCCTCTTGAAAACCCATGTGGAAGGTACAAGGCCTTGTATCAGCACTTCTCCCACATCCCCTCGCTGCCAGAAGACTCCACCCCCCATCATCGATGGCCACCCGAGCCCTCTGATAATAACAAGAATACGAATAATACTACTGATGATAAGCAATAGTAATAACTGTTAAAAGAGGAATAGAATAGTAGTCGTAATGATGGCAATACTTCGAATAGTAATAGGAATATACGTATTACAAACATCGACAGTGATACACAGTGCAGCTGGGCGTCGGCCCTTGGATTCATACTTGATGCCTTTCGCTCGGAGCTCGCGGGGAAGAAGCGTGATCTGGAGTACGATACCCTTCTCGTAGACCACCTCGGGCCAGGTTCTGGGGGAGCCTCCCCTGGATCGGATGCCGCAGCAAGCCCATGATGCCCGCAGATTAGATATGCCTTCCACTCCTATCGCAGAACCAAACCTAACACGCCATGGTCCGGAGGAGAGAGTTGATCGTATTCCCCTTAATGACCCAATACTCCCCCCGAAAAAGATCCCTTGTAAAACCCCTTGAAGGAGTTTAGACTATCGCTCCATTACGTGCCAAGGCACCATGTTTCCCCAAAGCTGAAGCGCCGTGCTAAAGCTGCGCCAGACAAGGATGGAGCCTGGAAGGAGCACCTGGGGCTCACTCATCTGCAAGGCTGCTCCTCTTGGTTTTAGGGTTTAGGGTTTAGGGTCCTTAGTATACTATAGTACCATGACTCGCAAGGTTTAGGATACTTAGGGTCATGCAGGATTTTTAGCATCCACCGTAGGGAGCCTGGAATTATGTCGAAAAGCGATACATCTGACTGAATCAGCTGAACTAGCCAGTATTGCATTGTAAAACCCCCAAATACAACACAACTCGTCTGGGGTTGGGGTCGGGTCATCAAACCCTAAACCCTAAACCCTAAACCCTTAAACCCTTAACCCTAAACCCCTAAACCCTTAAACCCTAAACGGCTCTGAGGATGGCATGATGACTGGTAAGGACTCCAGTCATGGGGGGTGAGAGTTTAGGGTTTAGGGTTTAGGGTCTGTAGCGCAGGTTCAGCTTTGAAACCTGCGCACTCTATAAGAAAAGCCCTTCAAACATGCTAGTAAACGACCCCCCCACCACATGGGCACATGAGCTATAGTCTGAATTCCTAATTAGTATCCCCCCTAATAAGCCCTATAATACTCCCCTATATAATCCCCTACGTAACCCCCCTTTAAGGAGTTTAGATTATGGCTCACATGTCAGAAGTTTCCGCATGGCTGGTTGTGATCCGCCCCCCAAAACCAACATCAAACTGGACCTCCCGGACCGCTGCAGCTTGCTCTTTCGGAATACCTGCATTTGGGGGTTTCCCAAAATTAGGGGTACCCTTTACAGGGGTGATATAGGGGTTCTAGAAGGGTATATAGGGATATATGGGGTTCAGGGATTAGGGTTTAGAATTTCCCAAAATTAAGTCCCCAATAATGAGGATTGTAGTATTCTGGGGTCTCTATTCCCTATTTTGTGAACCTACCATTTAGGTTGACAGTTGAAGGCTTTCCATTTCATACCATTGTTTTGGGCGTGAGGGTTTGGGCTTTAGGGTTTCAGGTTTACTACTGTGCTCCGGCTTTAGCTGTTCCACCTCAAAAGTAGGAGACGTGTTTTCTGGTTGGCCGGAACTATAAGGGCGTTCGGTGGGGATTCACGGGTATCCAGTCCAACTGTAACTCGTGCTTCCATCAAAAATACTTCTGAAGTCTTGTTTTTGATCGCAGATCGCATGTTCAGTTGTTTTGAGTGGCTGCCACTTCATTATTTTTCATTTGCGCAACTTGATAAGAGTACCAACAAATGCCCTTTTTCCAACAGAACATGCATGGTGATGAACAATTACTTGCAGCGCGTGGAAAGGTTCTTCAGAAATCGTTCAAAGGTGCAAGACAGGCATCGCTAAGACAAAGGATCAGAAAGGACAAGAGTACGGATAGCAGCGACCGGGACAATTTGCATCATGACAGAACTCAACAGAATAGGTGGATGCACAAACATAATAACGGTGATAATATCAGAATCCCGGAACAGTCATCGATGATATCGCTCGCAATGCATCGACGGACATGGGGATGTCCTGGGACTGTGCCCCAGGATAATGGACGCCAAAGTTTAAGCAACGTTTGACGACTTCCTCAAGTCGTATGGCGCAAACAACATGTTGAAGGCACAAAGGCACGGGATTCCCTCGTTTGTCGTGAAATTATCTAGGCATGCCATCTGTTGTTCCGCCGCAAGTCTTGGTGACACCATCTGTCTTGCTGACAATCACGACATGCTTATAAGAAAAGATAATGAGAACTGCCCGGCTTGTTTGGGGCCGGGGCTTAGAGATTTACATGCTGAACGCGAGGGCCTTGGTAAACCACTCCTTCAGCTGGTTGAAGTAGGTCCAAAGCCGTCATGAAGTAGTAGAAGTACCTGGGTGTGGGTAAACAATACAAATCTTGGGAAGGGTGAGAGCCTGCTTTGTGGGATGGCTGTCTGTGCCGCCTGGCTACCCCCGCGCCGTGAAGAAGAATTCCGTGTCGCGCTGGTCCACATACTCGTTCATGAGATACTGGAAAGACTTCTCCTATCGGTGGCACATAGTGGAATATCTTCCTGTGCAGGTGATGTGAGGGTTTCCCAAAATTAGGGGTCCCTGTGGGGGGGTCCCCATAGTAAGGACTGTAGGATTTTGGGATCTGTATTGGGGTGCAACAACCAAAAGGCCTGGCACAGTCCGATGACTGCTGGTGCTACAGAGGCGGTGGGGGCCTCACTACAGCTGCTCTACTTCTACTGCTACCGTTCCTTTGGTACTGCCCCCACCGCAACAGTCTATAATAGGGATCATATTAAGGGCTATATATAACTATACTAAAAATATTTTCCAACTGTTACAGAGTGGGGCCCACTGCCCAGTCCATTGCTACCACCACTACCACCACTACCACTGCTACTCTTTGGATGCTAGTCTTTGGGCAGCAGGATGTAAGAAGCAGCAGGCGCTCCTTGGGAAAATTCTCTTCTTCCGACACCAGCCCGGCGTCCTCGGCCCGAGGAGAGCCGGGTTGCTAAACTAATGCCGATTTTGGGGTTTGGGGTTTATCTATGGGGAGTATATGGGATTTAAGGATTCCTTGAAACTGGAGAAGCACCTTGAAACTGGAGAAGCAATTGGACAAACATGGAAAACCAACTAATTAGGGATTCTGTGAAGGAATCCATGGGCCTGAAGAACAACTGCCGGTTTCGTTCGAGGTCCATTTGAGATACCCGAAACCCATGACTATACAAGAAGTCCCTAATGCTAAGTAAACAGGTGATGTCGCGCCAGCGCAGCCCAATAGGACTGCCGTTAACACTTTCCGCGCATCCTAGTTTAATCCTCTTCTTGCACTCCCCGCCCTACGTCAACGTTGCAACCACCTAAACCCCAAAAGTATGTAGAATAATGGCCTCTTGGGCTATATTTAGGTCTTTTGGGCTATTATTATACCTACTTCGGGGGTTCAGGTACTGTAATTCCCTAAACCCTAAACCCTAAACCCTGAGCCGTACTGTAATTAGAGCTGGGAAGCGAAGGTCCACATGACCACGGCGCTGATCATCCTTGAATTACAGCCGGCTGGGAGACTAGGTTTAGGATTTAGGGTTTAGGGTTTAGGGTGAAATCTTGACACCAATAGTTGAAGTCTGAGCTGTGTAGTACCACCGGGTGGAATACATGAGAAGAACCATGTCATACCAAGTCTGCAATCCAAAGCCCAAGCCCTGTGAAACCTCCAGCTTACGCTCGGTAATTGGCCAAACTCAGATCACAAATGTCGCGATTGGCAACATGAGGATCCTATGTTGCTTCCCACCATGGAGCCCAAACTCATTTGTGCCTTCCAGCATTGCGGCTCATGAGAACAATCAGCACACATCACACCAAGACTTCGCTCATGTTTCCGCTGGCGGTTACGATAACTTTTGCTTTCTGCTGTTAAGGTTATGCTCAGAATTGGCCTTCAACATTTGGAAATCCTAAATTAATCCATTGCGTGTCTTTTCTGTGTTCGGGCCAGTGTTTGCGACCTGATGCGACCTGTGTTGGGGCTGCGGTGTGCACTCGGGCTTGTGTTCGGGCTTGCGTTCTGCGTTCGGCATGCTGATGCATTGCTCCCTGGCACTGGGCAGTCCTTTCACTGAATGCATTTCCCTACCCCAAGCTACTCTCAAAGCTCATATAGCTCACAACCGCAGCCCTGAATCCTAAACTTAAATAACAATGCAGGCCAGCCGATTCATCGAGCTAGTTATGAGAAAGCGCTGAGTCAAGCAACACATCGAGATCTAGAAGCAGGTAGGGAAAACAGGAGGGACCACAGAAACCCTAGCAGTCAAGGTTTCCATCACTCCTCAGTGCATGGAAGCTCTTGAAGGAGGGAAAACTGATTGTCTAGGAACTGCGGGCTTGGGGTCTGCAGTCCTCCTCGATCTGAGAAATAGGAAACATCTTGGGGCCATATGGCGGCTACATAGGTATATGTAGTATATATCTCCATAATGGAGAAGCAGCTAGAAAAGCAAATGGGAACATAAAAAGAAACATGGATTCTATCTCTTCGTGCGTTATACAGGTGCTTGGGGCCTTGATATTACTTCTAAGTAAAGCATAGTAGTTTCCATTTTAGTTTCCACTATTCCTCTATGATCTGTGTAGCTTTCACCTTTCCATTCGAGGGGGCGTTGCAACCACGACA